ACGTGACACCGCGATGCAGCACGCGACACGTGCCTAATCGCCAGACTTATCTCTATCTTTCTCTATCAATCATCTCGACCTAAAACAGACCCCCGATAAAAAAACACAAAACAATGCCAGAGGTCATTAGCCTCCTCTCCTCCACTCCTCCCCCATCCTACCAACCCCGCCAACCGTCTTTACCATCATCCCCGAACCAACCCCCAGCTGCGGCCCCGCCCATCACATTACCGATCATCTCGTCGGAGATTGATATCCCCTCATTCAACTACGACGATGACCTCTACAACAATAACAACAGCTCATCTAAGAGGCGAAGAATAAGCGAAGAGCCAGAGTCCACTCTACTACCACCCCCGCCCTCTTCATCTATACGTCCCGGTCCATCCCGAAACAACCTTTTCCTCTTCTCCGACGACATCTTACCTTCTTCAGAGGGGAATACTAAAGCGCCCGCTCGCGGAGTCGACGAGTCGGATCCGATCGTGTTCACTTCGTCGGCACCTGAGCCTGAGCCTGTAAGGGGTCGGTCGGAGGTGGAATTCCGCCGGGCGCATACGGAGACGATCACGATTGACGACGATGATGATGTTCGGGGCGGTGGTTATACGCGCGGGGCTGTGCGCTCGCGGAAGAAGGATGGGATCGAGCGGTTTAGCGATGAGCTTGGCATGTCGGAGTTCAATGAGCTGTTGGGGTTGGAGCAGAGCATGGCTACTCGGCCTGGGTTGTCGAGTCGGACGGCTAACTTGCTAGCTAGTCTTGAGGGGAGGTCGGGGTCTAGTGGACAAGGGCGGAGTCGAACGGCGGCGGGGAGACGGGGTGCGGAGGACTTGGTAGAGGTCGACGATGATGTGGATAAGGCGCGTAAGCCAGCGCGCAAGACCACCGCTAAAAATACCAGCGCGGAGAAAGAGGCGAAGGCGAAAGAGCGGGAGGCGGCGAAAGCGCAACGAGAGCGCGAAAAACAGCTCGAGAAAGAACGCAAACAGAAAGTGAAGGAGGACAAAGCGCGGGAGAAACAACTCGCTGCTGAACTGGCGGGGGTGAACAAGCTCAAGGTGGATAAGAAGGACTCTACGCCAGAGATGATCATCGATCTAGCCTCGAATCTCCAGCAAATGACCGTCGGCGAGCAGACGGTGGAATTCATGACCCGACTCAAAGTCGAACAGACCTTCTTCGAGAGCCCAATCCCCAACGTCATCAAATGGCGCCGAAAAGCCACAGCCACGTACAACGACTCCCTCGGCCACTGGGAGCCCTGCGCATTCCACATCCGCGAAGAACAGCACGTCCTCGTCCTCCTCAACGCCCAAGACTTCGTCAACATGGTCATCGCACCACCCCCATCCCCAACCACAACCGAACTCGACACCCACGTCCTAAACCTCAAATCCACCCACCCAGCCAGCAAACCAATCTACCTAATCGAAGGCCTCACAGCCTGGATGCGCAAGAACCACAACTCCCGTAACAGAGCCTACCAAGCCGAACTCCGTCGCCAATACGAACAATCTCAACCCCAACCCCAACCTTCCACTACAACAACCCGTCGCAGAAAACAACAACAACCAAACAACAACAAACCCGAAACAACCCCCCCAGTCGACGACGACACAATCGAAGACGCCCTCCTCCAGCTCCAAGTCACTCACTCCTGTCTAATCCACCACACAGCAACACCCACCGACTCCGCCGAATGGATCAAAAACTTCACAGAACACATCTCCACCGTCCCCTACCGTCGCGAAATGATGGAATCAAACGACTCCGCCTTCTGCATGGACGGGGGACAAGTCAAACCCGGCGAAAACAAACCCGACACTTTCATCAAAATGCTCCAGGAAGTCAACCGTATCACACCCTCCATGGCATACGGTATTACCACTCGATATCCCAGTGCCGTGGACTTGGTTCGTGCTATGCGACGACATGGTCCGGGCCTGTTGGAAGATGTTAAGGTTTGTTTTTTTTTTTTTTTTTTTTTTTTTTTTTTTTTTTTTTTTTTTAAATCCCCATCTCCTATGCCCTTTTTCTAGATTCTATTCGCGATTTAAACAAGCATACTTTTATACTAATAATTGATTAAACAGAAATCAGCGAATCGGAATGGCGCCCTCACGGATTCACGGATCGGTCCGGCAGCTAGTAAACGATTGTATAAGGTATTTATGGGTCTTGAGCCCTCGTCGACGGATGTATGATTCTGGATCCGGGTTCCGGTCATGTAGGCTTTTAATTTTGGTACTTTTGTATCATTATTCTGGTATTGTATTGGGATATACTTTTTTATTCTGGTATTTGGGAGGGTATCTTAGCGTGAGATTTGATTACCATGGTAATTGGGATGTGGAGTTGTATTGCAGAGAATATGTCATAGATTGGATGTGGATGCTAATCTGAATCCAGAATGTACGCCTGTATGCAATGAACATGAACAAACTGAAAACCAAAGTTCTATCCCGTATGATATAGTATACTATAATCCAATTTAAACGGAAACACCTCTCCGTCTCCAAGCACGCCAGGCGACACACCAGGCTGCGATAGCTACCCATACGCTGAGCGTGCATCCCAAGGCCCAGAAACCAAAGCATTTCCAGCCGTGGCACTGGCCGTCTGCGGAGCCGTTGCCCCCATCTGCCGCGTCCTGGTAACAGCGGGAGTAAATGAGTCCCCACATTGCGGCGCCGGCTGCGGGGAACATGGCCACGATGCCCCAGTTCGTGCCGAAGTTCTCGACGCCCCAGACGACGGAGATGATGATGGGGCAGAGGGAGAATGCGCTGCCATAGCCGAAGCCGACGAGGCTGGTGGTAATGTGGGAGAGTTCGGGGTGTTGGGTGGGTAGAGGGGAGGCTAGGAGGAGGTAGCCGAGGGAGAGGAGAAGGGCGGAGGGGAGCAGGAATGTGAGTCGGGATAGGGTGAGGCGCTTAGACGATGTCGGCGAGCTGGGGCGTATAGACTCCGAGTTACCGGGGAAAAGGTGGGTTGCTGGGGGTGCGAAGTAGTCTGAGAGCGATCCGGTGAGGAGTCGCGCGATGGTGGATGTGAGGGCGATGGTGACAACATGTGTGGATGGTTGTCCGGCTGGGGAGGGAGCGTTGGGAGGGTTTGACACGGGTGTTAGAGCCCCGACGACGGTACCCAACTAGATAAGTCAGTTAGTATGGTTTTTGTTTCGAGGTATAAGGTAGACGTACGTTGTTGATGTATGCTTCTCCCGGGCCGGTGACTAGGAAGAAGCCGAAGGCCAGCCACCACATCGTATGATCTTTCAAAAACACTTTTGTCTCCCAGTTGAGTAGCCAGTCTTTCTTCCGGCGTTCTTCCTCTTCCTTCTCCTTCTCCAGCCTTGCGGCTTCCCGTTGCTCCTCGGTTTCGGTCATAGTCAGCGTTCGCTCTTCGTCATCCACGGCATCCTCTGCTTGCGAGAACGTTCCGTATGCAGCCCTCACTTCACTCCTTGATCGGAAGAACTCGCTTTCCTCCAACAGGCCACTCCTTTCGAGCTCCTCGACCGCTTCGTCGATGTATTTCTCTTCATCCTCCTCCACGATTCTGAGCCCGAAAGTGCCAATGATTCCAATGCCGAACAGAAGTATTGCAAGGAAGATGAAGTACCGAAAGACGTCAACGTCACCTCGGCTGCCATCCTCTAAACGTTCGAACAAGAGATACGTCCCCACCTGACTTTGCCACATACCGCTCAGACCGAATGCCGCGATCGGAATGGCAAGCATGATGCCCTTATGCTTGCCCCTGCCGAAGTTCTTGGCGCAGGTGGTGACTGCAGCCAAATACATACAGCTTGTGGCCGTTCCCACGCAGATGAACGCCACGACCATCAGCCAGAAAGGGTGACCGGAGCCACCGGCATCGGGAGGTGGGCCGCTCATGTAAACAATTGCTGCCAAAAAGTACCCTATTCCGAAAACCGTGCCGGAAAACAACGCCAGCGGAGACGGGCTGTACCGGTCACAGAGATAGCCAAATACTGAAACAGGGAGGTACATGGACACTCCCGCAGCAATTGATACAGTATTCACCCGAAGTTGAGTGTAATGGAGTCGGGTGAGAAAGAGGGGCCCGTAGAGAGAGAACGCCGTGATACTACCGGCGCCCAAGCTACGGCACGATAAGAGAAGCCAATCAGTAAAGAAGGTCGAGAAACAGAGAAGACAGAACGCATGCTACTCACCAAGTTATAACTCCCAAGGCAAAGCTGCATATCCGTATGATTTCCCTAGCCAGCTTACGACGATCTCTTTCGACAATTTCATCCACGACATTGTTGAGAAGGCCTTCCTCGCCATCACTATACCGGCGAATCGAGATTCTAGATTCCGGCCGAGAGATCAGATCTCTACCATCATTGCCGACCCCAGAGTCATGACTAATAAGCAACGGGCGGTTGGTGTCAAAGTCCCGCTTATCAACAACTTGGCCACTGGATCGTGTCATGTTGTATGTTGGGCTTGGAGGCAAAGCGAGAAAATAAGTCTCTGAAAAGTTCTGAACAAGGGGGGACTAATAAAAAGAAATTGAGCCCATGGGAACAGGGATGTTGTTCTTGTGAACAGTTTATAATGTGCCCGATCACTTGACTGAGCTCGAAGGTTTGGCTCTGCTACGTCACTGGGGAGTCAAAAGGAAGATCATGCTGGAAAACAGGGATGGCCTTGCAAATATATACAACAGAATCTTGGACAAGTCAGTGTATATACCCGAATTAATCGGAGATGGGATAAAAAAAAAAAAATTTAAAGAGAAGGGATGGGAGGAGGTGACGAAAGAACGATAACAAATAGAGTGATGGTAGATGTACTCCTGGCGATTACACCGCTTATCACCGCGGCACGTGATGTCGATCCTAGTGGAGACATGTCAATCTTTGAACCTGAATGATAAACCATCTATCTACTGCTGTTCAGATAAGATCTGCATGAAATTATAAAAAAATGAGCAATCTCCTTGGGGGAAAAAGGAAAAAATAATGAGGCTGAGAGGAATCGAACCACTAACCTTATGATGGACCATTCGACCTGGAAGTCAGATCTGGAGTCACACGCGCTACCATTACGCCACAGCCCCATTGGTTGATAAGACGACCCATTATTTTGAGTCAATTCAAGACCACCAACATGTATTTTTGTATCAAACCCTCTACCCAAAGTATGGATGAACCCACAATGATTTTGGAACTACTGAGTATACAGACAATCACCATGAAAAAAGGGTTGAAAACTTAAAACTCAGAAAAAACCACGCCACAAAATAATTGATTAAAAATATAGGATTAAGAAGCTCTTGTCTAAGGCCTGTCACCATTTATGTACACAACAGACTCCTGGAACGTTACCCCATAGTTTAACATGGAAAAGGGTCCAGGGAATCGGACAAGTTCCCGGGTGGTATAATCAGTAAGGCGTGTCCGAGAAAGAAATTATAACAAGTCAGTCGTCGGCAAGAGAAAACAGAAACGAAGAAAGTAAACAAGAACAACTTCATACACGCCGTCAGAATGAAATCGCTCTCTCACAAAAGACCTTCTATTATGCACCAGGCATGTATAGACATAGATCCTGAGGGGAGCATTGATCAATCATCAGTATCATATTTTCGCTTACCAAATGACATCTCCGCGCCCCCTGGTCGTTAAAAGAATGTCGTCGACATCATGGATGTGCGAAAGGAAGAACATTAACAGAAAGAAGCGGGACGATAACTCCCAGTCCATTGCCATGCAATTTTGACGCCGTATCCCGTGGTTATCGAATGATCCGTTGATCGATGGACTTAAAGGCAATGCAAGCCGCTAACTCCAAACTTGAATAGTGTAGATGCCGGACGAAGAAAGTAGGGGGAAACAACGAGTAAAAACAAAAACAAAAAACAGAAACAGAAAAAAGACAACAAGGAAACCAACAATCGATAGGGCAAATTGAAATAAAAAGAACAAATAATGATCTGCCGAGTGGCATAGACAGTAAAGTGGAGCTTTAAAAGCTAACTTGGCCGGGGTCACTCTCTAGCACATTATCGTCCCAATAACGATCTGACAGGTCTTCGTGACCAGAAATTTGAGATCTTAAAGCAATGGCTTCGCCTTCACCTCGTTCAATGTATTCATCTTGACTAACTTCTTTTAGGATGCGTTGGAAGTACATTCGGAGACTGCGAAGGCCGCGAAGATAACCGCGGTCGATATCATCAGGATAGTGCGGGGGGCAAGGTGCATCCGGGGATATTCCATCTTCGCCCGTTACACAATTGGCGAAATCGACGATCTTCAGCTGAACATCAATATTATTATGGCCTTCGTCAGATGTACGACGCTGTAAAGGAATCCGTTTGTTGCCATCCTGGTTGTCTGCTGGGGAATTCCTCTCCACGGTTGATTGCTCGCCATCATAAAGGATCAAGAGGCTACTGGCGTAAAGACGATAGCGCTTTAACCTCCTGATCATGTTCTCCAATTTTGACAACTTTTCAAGAATGACGGGGATCTTTTTGGCCACACTAGAATAGCTGACACCGTCGTAAAGGAATCGGGTAAGAGCATCCTGAAATTCGCGCCCAGATTTTAAATCTCGACCAAAATATTTATCTTCGAAGGTATATTCCTGTTTCTTGACATTCCATGACTGCATGCCACAAAGGCGGACGCCGAGTTGCTGAGATGTGGTTGACTGGCATTTTCGTCTCTGAGATTTCTTTTTCTTCTCGTTGGCTTCGATCCCATACTGGCGTGTCCCCATCTTCAGATCGAGTACGCAAGGTTTGTTCATGCCAGCTGTAAGATCCTCTAACAGTAAGAAAAACTGCACCCGCTCGTCTTTCCTGGTCTGTGCCTCCTTAGGATTGGTTGGAAGTTTAAAACGACTAGTCTCTTTGACCTGAACACTGACAGCATCCTTCGGCGGCATATCGTATACGTTATGGCTCTCGGGACTTACAACCTCGGCCGCACTAGTATGCTGGATTGCCGTGTTGGGCGGCTTCACACTCCGACGAGCCTGCTGTGCCATTGAGGCATCTGCCTCCATTGTGAAGATTTCGTCTTCTTTATCACCGCCATATCCTTCGTCTTCGAAGAATATAAGCTCACCTTCCTTGCCTGGGCTCATACTTCGTCGTCGTTGCAAGCCACTCCCCGAATGGCGACGTCTGACCTGCCGGCTTCGCGAGACGGAGCTAGAGCGTGGCTGAGATTCTTCAGTCCGCACCTGCTCAAGACGGTTATGATTAGAATCTAACGCTGTAGATGCCGACGATGACAAGCCTGGTCCGTCATTGGCCTGTTTGGTTATGTCGATAGCAGCAGACCGAGGTGGTTCATTGGTGGTAGGCGCATTACGACGGCTACTAGCAGTTTGATCCTCCGACAGATTAGATCTCCTGCGAGAGCTAGATATGTCTGAGGACATCCTGGGCAACGCGGTATGGCCCCGTGCATGACGCCGATGGTGATGAATAGCCGGAGGGCTGAAGACCTCTCGAAGAACCTGCTCTTGCAATTTTCGATTCACCGTAGTGGCACCCCAGCTGATCTTGGGCTTTCTGGGGGAAGTGAATGAATCATCCACAGATCCTTTCATCAAATCATGCTCACTAGGGGTTGGACCAGTGCCATTGCTAGCTCTGTTCATCATCGTACCATCGGAAGTCTTGGGCCGCTGTGGGCGAGAAAAGAGATCTAATGGAATAATATGACGGTTGTTTTCAAGTATGACTTTGGGCACGATACCGGTAACTTGTTTTTGGCTGAATATCCGTGGTTGATCAGCGACGTCGTGCGGATTGGAGACACCAACAGCCGTTGCATCCGAATTATTATTGTCACCCGGCTTAGACGCAGTGGGATCGGCATCGGTATGCTCAAATTGACCTTCGGAGTCCAGCTTGGGGCGCTTCGGGTTTCTCGAAAACGTGACATTCAAAACCCCGATGTACCTAAAGTCAGATGTTCATTAGTAGGGTATGCAATAAGGTAAGAATGGAAAAATGAAAATATGAAAAGAGATCAAAAAAAGGAATGAGATCTAGTATTACAACTACACACCTTGGCAGAAACATGAGCATTTCTGGATGTCTCCGTTCAATGCGTTCGTAGAACTCATTCTCCCGGTTGTTGAGCTGCTTACACACAGCACGCCGCGAGAAACGAAAGACGGTCGTGTGACCTCCCACTTGATGCCGGTAAGGCTTCAGTTCCACAGCCCCCACCGGAGCTTCTGCACGCTTGCGTTCACGGCGTAGGCGGGGGCGTTGAGTAGGGGTCGCAGTAGGTGTCACGTCAGCTTCATCAGTCAAGCTAGACTCTTCATCACGAACAGACACTCCACTCTCATCAGCGGAACCGTATTCCGACCCACACGTCGAGTACTCGCTGCTGCGATCGGTTGTGGCGCTCAGGGGCTTTTCAATCAAGTCTGCTATTTGTGGGGCCTGTGTTCCTTGTAAATCACCGTGCAGGATTCTACTTTCATTCTTAGATCGAAGAGATATATCCACATGCTTAATTTCTTGCTCATCAGGGACACCATGTCTCTTTGGCACTAAGACGTGACTACTCTTCGCCGTTGATGCGTCGAATGGCTCTACACCATGTGGGCTGTCTGGGTAATGTTGCACCTGGTCAACTTCTTCAGAAACAGTGACGCGTTCGTGGGGAAAATACACAGCAGATGAAATCTGCTCATCCTCTTCGTCTTCCAACTGCCCAGAACCACGGCGTCGTTCTCGGTCAGTGTCTGAAGAGGGCGAAAGACCGGGAACGTCTTTCGTGAAGTAATCCCTCGCCTTCTCGGCATACTGTGTTGGGATGCTCCTCGAGAACGAAGTACCGCGGGCACCTCCTGGCGTTAAATGAAAGTTGCGGATCTCTTCCAGCAGGCTGCGAGGTAGAGCCTTGTAGGGCTTTAGAATTTCATCGTTCCCTGAGCGCTCAGAAAGTCCGGCCTCCAAGATAGGGGCCATCACCGGAGTGTCCGCTAGTGACAGATGAGGCAAACTTTTAGAGCTGCGGATATCAACCTCGTCTGACGATGGCAGTCGAGATTGTGTCTCAGATTGATCCGGCAGGTGACGGGGTTCAGAGTGGACCGCTGGATGCTGCTTGTCGTATGAGTCCAGGAAATCGTCGTGACGCCTCCCGCGGTCCTCCCTTCTTTTGCGATCCGGTGAAGTAGTGTTCTCCTTGAACAAACCCAGATAATGGCTTGACTTACGGCTGCGCACATGGGAAGTTGGCTCCGCATTGGCCAGATTCGCCTCGATTGAATTTTCCACTCGGCCGCGTCGACTGCGACTAGAACTCCGTTCCACCCCTATTTCGGGCACGGTATCCCGTGAGGAACGTTCTGATTTCGGATGAGGCATTGTCTCATACTGGCTAGCCGTCGGCCCATGGTCTAATGAGGGGACCGTTGGCTGGTGCGCCGGCAAAGACGCATCTTTAAAGGAAGTAGAGAGGAGACTGGGATGCGCCAGCGACCCCTGTAGAGGAGTTTCGGTGCTCGCGCCCTCTGAGGAGGATTTGCGAAGGGGACGCAGACTCTCCCAGTCCGGGATCTGCGAGAATCGTTGGGGCGTCTCGTGTTGCACCTCCAAATCTACATCAGAGCCGACCGAGAACACGGGATGGTGGCGAGTAGAGATGGCAGACGGAAGTAGGGAGGGTGGCAAAGAAGGATTTCTGTGGATGTCAACTTCCATGTGGGGGACGTTCGCGACAGTGCGACGGGGAAGGACCTTGGAAGTGGGAATTGGAGTAGGAGAAGCGGATGCATTTTCGGTGGCAATGCTTAGGTTCGTGGGGAGTTCATGGTCTGTATCTTCCACCGGGGGGAGGTCGGGGGTATTAGAGGAATCGTTCTCGGATGGAAGGTAGTGAGTAGCAAAAATGCTGTCTCGCTCTGACAATTGGGGGCTATGAAAGAGATCCGAACGGGAGAGCTTCTCGGGCGGGATGGTGGTGGCCCTTTTTAGACCAAAGCCAGATGACGGCTTGGCCCATTGATGAGCCGTGGGGGACTCGGCACGAGAAGGGGAAGGAGCTTCCTGAATATCATGGTGGAGAAGCTGATCCC